CAGCATGAAAACAAAAAAAAGGTATTTAAAGTGATTTAAGAATAAAAGAAAAATTTGAAAATAATATAATTTTATATGTGTATTTTGATATTTCAATTTATATTTTGTGAATTTTCTGTTTAAACTAGATTTATTTAAATATGAATTTCCTTAGAATGCTTAGTCGTTTTTAAAAATCAAATAAAAACAAATACACTAAACCGAAAGTGGTAATGATAAATTTTATTATAAATTTGAAGCTGTTGGTTTTTTGTAACAACAGCGTGCAGTCTTCATTCTTAGGCGGAAGAAACAGTCATTTTAAATTTTAGAATAATGTACCTAATATACATATGCCACAGAATGTTTGGAATACAGCTGTATAATATTCAAAAGCTGAAACCAACACTTTCCTAATGATGTTTGTGTTCGGTATCTAATCACTAAAACAGGAAGTGATTTCAATCTGGCAAGGTCGGATTCAGCTGATTCTCACAGTAAGAAGCTAATAGAAAACTTCTCATTTAGGTGAACGTAACTCTAAAAATTTTAAGCAAATGCAAATTTAAACTTGTTTTAACAATAGTACGCTCAGAAAAGGAACAGAAGCCATTATGGAGAAAAACGTGCTTTTGATAGCACTGCTACGAAAGAATTTAAACAAATTTCATCAATAATTGTTTTTAATCCCGTCCTCATAAGATAGGGATAAAATTAGTGGCATTAGTAGCTAATAGAAAAATAGCGATTTTACACTACTATTGCCAGAAAAAAAGACAATCTTGGAATGCTTTAAATGTAAAGATTATTTCATTAACGTATAAATAACTAAGCTTATAAAGACAATGCGAAGTGATTGTCAGAACCACAAAATATGGTCATTAGTTCAAGTATATAACGAATCCGACCTTGTTAAATACAGTTACATACAATTTGCTAAGTTCCTGTTTTCAGATTCAAAGATTAGCATGCAGAACTTAGAAACTTTGTGCAAGCCACATAAATAATTTATATATACATGATTGTTATCACAGTGAGTATTACTCTTTTCCTGAGCAACAAGTGAGCAACTTCCTCAAATAATCATTAAGGACGACGACAACAAAAAGTGACTGCTTCATTTTTATTCTTAAAAATGTCAAATTTTAATAAATTCCTTATTTCACGAATTATTTTATAAATTCCTGATGCACATATCTCGCTGGTGAGGTTTAAAATCTGACATACCATGTCACAAAATTCACCAAATCAAATTTCAACACTAATATATTTATCTCAACTTTCATATAAACAAGTACTTTATTACTATCTTGTGGACCCTCATTTTTATGTCAAAAAGTAATTTTAAAGGACAGTAGAGTTTACGAATCTAACTAATTATGATAGAAAAATAAAAGTATCTTAGATACATATACGCAATTTAGCGGCTAGCAAAAATATGAGTAATACACTTCACATATATTAGGTCCACCAGCGGCCGAGCGGTAAAGTCGCTGAACACTGGTAGTTCGGTCCGAGGTTCGAATCCCGCGAACGGGCCGGCTGCATGGGTGTGTTTTCGTGGTTTTCCCCATGTGTAACGTGTATACGAGCCAGTTTCCCTTAGAAAGTCCTCCACGAAGGCATCCCTTCCCTTAGGCAGATAGCCCTAGTGTGCTTTGCCATAATTAAATACACACACACATACACGCTTCACATATATTAATGAAAGTGAACCGCAATAATCAATTTCGCTCTTTTTTGCGCTGCAAGAAAAATTAGCTAATTCCTTTTATTTACATATTTTCTTAATCACCTAGATTTCAAAGCATAATATTCTTCTTAAATATACAATAATATCTCTGAAATTTACAGTATATAATGTATATTACCTTCTCGAAAGTAATTTCTAGGATAAAATCAGTAACTGTACAAACATAAACAACATATATCACTAGCAGGTTGTTTTTAATCTCCAGGTAAGGCATTACTGGCAATTGTATTTGGTACATTTCTTCAGGATTTTCAAACCTAGAATATAACTAAGATGATTTCCGTGACATGGAACATCAAAGAAAACCCTTTCATAACTAGAAATCTATAATTTCTAAGCTAATTTCTATGGCAGATAATTTGGTGTTCTATTAATCATAGCTTATACTTCCTTATAAAGTTTATATACATGCTATAAAACTAATATTAGATGTTTACCCCGAAAAATACACTTTTAGTATTTTAAGCGTGGTTGTTCGCAGGTTAATCTCATGACTGAATACGTCGATTGGGCTAAAAAAACTATCAAATTCTCGATTCTTCCCGATAGCTAATAAATGCCATTTATTGTTATTACATCAGACGAGAGATATGTGCATCGCTATCTATCAGAACATGCTTTTCCGGATTCGAGTAGGATTTTCAAGTTTCAAAAGGACCTCGCTGCCTCTGCATCGAGAAGAAATTAGTAATAGTTTATACATTGTTTTTCATAAACGAAAAAAAAAAAAAATTGTGGAAAATTTTATCTGGACGTACGACAACTAACCAAAATATTTTAAACGTATACGTAAAATAAGAATACTTAAAATTTTGTATTTGTAAGTAGAAATAACATTTAATTTTTGTATTTAGGATCAAGAACTGGTAAAAAGTGACAGCTTACTGGGCTATTTTATTTCAGATTAAAAAATTTCCTTTAAATGAAACTGCACTAAAAACTGAAAAATGTACAGAAAAAGACGTTTACTATCGGTAGGTTTTGCGTACTAACATAATAACTAATTTATTTCTTTGTATAGTTGCTATAAAAAAGAACATTTCAATTAAAACAACTTGGCAAAGTATTTTGTTGTAAACTTATCCTGAAATGAATTCAAAGCTTTTCTACTGACTTAAGATCATTGCGCATTTTAATATATAGTGATTCTCTTTTCTCGCTACAATTACTACAGAAAATTAGTGTGTCAGAGAAACTTGCTGCAGAAATTCAGGGAATTATTAAAACCTTGCAATATCTTGATATTGACATTAATACTTATGTTCGTGAACTCTAGAAATTTTGGAAACAAGATGGCTAATGCTCTAGCAAAATCAGCATGAAACTTCAGGCTGACTTCAATCTGAGTGCTCCAGTTTCTTACTGGAAGCGCTTTTATAGAAAAGACGCTATCTGTATTAGGAACAAAGGATATCTTGTCTCACCAAAAGCACAATGGGCAAAATAGTTTAGCCCTACAGTTTTTCACAGAATGAAAGCTGATAAATTTTCAACAGATTTTAAATTAACTCAAATTTTGTCAGGATACGGCAAGTTTAAAAGTTATTTCAGCTTGCATCTATTTCGGCTTGCATAAAATCTTTCGTGCAATCGTGAAGATTTTAATCATATTCTTCTAAGGTGTGCGTGTCATTTCTAGCAAAGGAAGATATTTTAGGCCACTTTTAAAGGGCCTGTACCTATCTTGGTCACCAATATTTTCGCATTTTCTAAAATAATTCATTGCTGAGTTATTATACATTTGTTTATTTATTTTGTAAATGCTATAATTTGTCTCTGGTATACTTTGTGAAAAACGAGGAGGTATAATTAAAAACAATGTGTCAGTTATGTGTCAAGTCACTTGTTATTCAAGCTTTACTATATATTTGTCACAGCAAAGCGCTATATATTTGTTATACAACATTTTTGTATTTGAAATTCATCAAAATGATACAGTTACATCGCGTCAACAATACATTTCGTATACATATGCCAGTAAATTTTTCAAATTAACAGCAATTTAAAATTGCATACTATCAGTGAAATACTATAGTTTGTTATGCAGTCACTTTTTGATGTAGGGAGGGCACTAGGAAGGAAATAAAAGTGTTAAAAGAAGCATAAAAATCATCATGATTCAATTTAGAAATTTTCATTTGGCCTGTATATGATAAAATTTTAAATATTTGTTATCATTAAAACATGAATTGAAATGCTAATCCAAGGCTTTTTACTGCAGCAGCAATTTGGCAAATATCATCAGTTACATTTTATATAGCAAAGAACGGTTTTTAAAAAGTGCAATAAAATTTGACACTTACAGACTTTGCCCAATTGCCGGAAACATATTTGCAATGAAACCGAATAGCCACAGGTTTAACTAAAACAAATTTTTAAAAAAAGTTTCAAAGTTGGCCATTATACATACTGCATATTAAACAAAATGCCAGAAACACATGGCATTAACGGGTTGAAGAACAGCTACAGAATGCCAGATGTTTCTGATTGTATAAAGCTTTTACTCAGAGTAGGATAATGTAAAAAGGAAATATAAACAGAAAATATTTTATTTTAGGTCACACTTAATAAAACAACATTTTTTAGAAGTCGTTTAGAAATAATAATCACAAAAATTAATATGATTACTTAACTTCCAACTGTTTGCGGCTGTTGCAAATAAAGTTCTTATAAATCGAGAGATGTGATTACGCAAATTGTCCCTTTCAAGATGAGGTCAGGGAGACCAGAAATGTCCTCAAATATAAAACCCGATCGACGCATTTGGTCAAGAGATTAACCTATGAGTAAATACCACTTCTTAATAAGATTCTTTACAAATAGTCCGATTGTCTTGATGACTATTCTAAATCGATGTGAAGGCAGTGATTTACCTAATAAAAAAATTCCTACTCACTAAATTTCTGTGATCTTCACAAGAGTAAAAGGGACAATTTCCAATCACATTTTATCTATAATTTGAAAAGGCAGAATAGGCAATATTTTACTCTATAAAATTGAGGTGAAAGATAGTTATAATTATAATAATCTTTACAAATGTAAACATTTTTAAAACTATTTTACATATTTATCGTAAACGTTGGAAGGGATATCTCAAAGTATACACATATACTCTATAAATTATATAAAAGATAAAGACCAAACATACGATGCTCTTTACAAGTGTTATAGAGAAAATAAAATGGAGTTTGAATAAAATTACATCACTATCAAATATGCTCAGTTTTAAGAAATTTCATAGAAAATTTGCAATAAATTTATGTAAAGATCAAACACATACTTAGTTAAAAAGAAGTTTTAAAGAATAAAATTACAGGCCTTATATTAGTTAAATTTTCTGAAAATATTACTTTTCTAAGAATTAGACAGGAGAACAGACCCTTTTAATTTAAGGATAGTAAATGTTTAATACTAAAAAATTATGAAATAAGTAATCAATAAGATCATAAGATGATAATATTTTTTAGGTCAACTAACGAGGAATGAAAAAGATAGACGAGAGATTTCAATGTAATCATAGTAGTTTGATTCAGATTTTATTTTAAAACGAACTACTCGGCGACATAAGTTTTGAATAATACATTCGCAGAAAGGTGATTTTCAAGAAGGAAATATATTTTAAGATAAGGTATCAAAATCATCTGCAATTCAGTAATACACTAGCAGAAATATTATTTCTGTGACAAGAAATTACGTACAGAATAATTTCCAGCATAAACAACAGAAAACATACTTTTTTGATAATGCACTTCAATTCACGTTTTCGAAGAGTTTTTTATAAAATACCAGAAAGAGAGGAAAATATGCAGTTTGAAATAAAATAATTCAAAATTTCTTTGTTTTCTTTTTTATCCATTGCAGTCTAATAATTTATTTGAATATGTGCCAAATTTTTCTAGAATAAAAGGGGTGCTGAATTTTCCATTTGAAATTAGATAAATATTAAAATATTGTATTTCGTTGAAAAGTAAGTAACAATTTTAAATTATATTGCTCAATATTTCTGCATTTTGTAGAATTTTCGTCTGTCTTTTTTACTGTTATTAGTTTTGGCCTGATATATATTTTTCTCTATCACGTGTTATCTTTTCCCAATTAACATTTCTATCTTTTTATGCAAAATTAAAAAATAGTTTTTTTATTCATAGTTGACTACAGTGACATTAAAAAGCACTGCTAACAGTAATTCTGCTTAAATTTTGTCCTAGTCAAATTTGAACTCAGCTCCATACTTAGTTAAAGAAAAAAGCTGTATTTCGTGCTAAACTGCACTGGATCAGTGTTGCTGTCGTATAATGGATATTGATTAACCTACAGTTCAAGAGCCATGCTAGAAAAAGTTTGTAGCATTTCGCTACATACTTGAAAACTAATGCAATGAAATCGCAACAAAGGAAAAACAGAAAGCTTGTGACGAAACTTTGAATGCTCCTTTGCATTTAAATTTGGACACGAAGCGAGAAGAAACGAAGACAGCATGAAGTTTATCATACTGAATGATTATTTAGATTAAAGAAAAGGCAAAGTGTTTTTATTTGCCTTACAAGTAGTAAGATATAATCAGTTAAATCATTCTGAAAAGTACTATTTCTTACCAATTTCATGCATTGTATCTTATAAAATAATATAAGGATATAAAAACAGGAAATATTTTTAAAATTATATCTTTATATCTTATATTGATAATTAAAACAATTTATCTTTAATAACAGGAAAGAAATATCTAATCGTAGTGTGACATCTGTATTTAGATCTAGGTACTTACATAGTAACGCAACTACCTTGGCAAAATTTAGCGATTTTTTGAGGACGAAGAGGTAAAAGCTACTTTTCGGATGCAAGTTGGTGGGTTTCACTCATTTAAAAAAAAACAAATACCCTAATTATCGATATTTATAGTAAGTCGGTAAACATTATCAATATATGAAAAGAAAACATACTTCAGCAGTTTATATTACAAATTTGAATTATTAAACAACGATTACATAATATATTAAAAATAAAACACTTACATTCTTCTTCAAATCTTTCTGTAATTTTTTTGCATTATTATTCTTCCGAAGTACACAGCGGTCTTTTTTTGCTTAAGAAAATATTAAGAGAATTGCGGAGACTCGGCTTCGTCCAATTCTCGGCATAAGCGACTATCTAGGAAACACATTTCCTCGTTATTCCCTACAGAAAATTTTCAGTAAAATTGTGTATCCGTGCAGAAAAGTTTTCGCAGTTTCCAACATTGTTGGCAAATTACACAAGCTCATATTTTAAAAATAAGGTAAAAATATGAACATGGTTGACGGAAGAATGGTTATGCGCATGGGGTCAAGAGTTTGGCACATTCTGAAAATCTGGCGACTTCTACTGAAGTGGCTCCGTTAATACGTAAGTATCCAGATCTATTCCATACAAAGCTGTCTTTCTGAGAGAAAGCATGAAGATACAAACCTTGTAGTTCAGCAATGAATTTAGCTAAATTGCTTAATTGCTAAATTGAAATTCTTCTTCGTTTAACATAGCAGTCTTCACTGCACAAAATTTTATCCTTCATTCATTTTAAAAGGAATTAAATAAAAAAGTTCCAAGATTGCACATAAGAGGTGAAATATATGAGATTTAAAAAATCTCAGTTACATATTTTCCGTTATATTAGATATTAAAATGAAAGAACGTATTTGCTCTAGAGATCAGAAAAGTAATTGTCGATGCAAACTACGTGAACACAGTTGGAAGAGGAGATATGAAAAGATTAAGAAATAGCACATAATGTTTTCTTGCTTTCTTGCTGGCAAGAATATATTTACAAAGGCATAGTAGTAAATGTGATACAAATATATGAAATTTCACGTTACCATTTAAGATTGAAAATTTATTCCCTGCATTCTCAGTTTCATGAGATTTGATGATACTAGCACTGCAAGGCATTGAAAACGAAACTAACAGAACTCTGAAATGCTGAAAACGCTACTGATTTTGATTACACTTTAAATTTAACGAGAGGATGAAAAAATGAAAATATTATAAAAACTTGTTTAATAACCCCCAGGAAAATTCATGATATAAATAGACAATGAACTACGATTAAGAGGAAAAATTTCGAACCTTAATGCAAAATCATTTCTTACATATTAACGAATATACTGTAATTAATAATTTAAAGAAATATAACAGATCTGTCTCTTTAAAATAAAGTAACTCTTGTTAGAACCATGCAGATTATTATTCTGTACTAAAAGTGTGTAATTTATGGCAATGGAAGCATCTTTTATTGACTACAATTATGCAAAAATGCTTATAAAAATATTCGATTATGTACATTATAAATTTTATGGATTAGGCATATAGTAGAACGTCGGTTATTTAAACTCCAGTTATCCGAACACTGCAGTTTCAAGGTCAGATTACAAACAGAAACGATTTATACAACATTTGTAATAATGGGATCAAGAATGCAAGGTAAATGGGCCCACCAGCGGCCGAGCGGTAAAGTCGCTGAACACTGGTAGTTCGGTCCGAGGTTCGAATCCCGCGAACGGGCTGGCTGCATGGGCGCTTTCGTGGCTTTCCCCATGTGTAACGTGTATACGAGCCAGTTTCCCTTAGAAAGTCCTCCACGAAGGCATCCCTTTCCTTAGGCAGATAGCCCTCGAGGCTTTGCCATATAATCACACACACACGCAAGGTAAATGATATGAAGATGACAGGAAGAGTTGTAAATTATAAGGAAAATAAAATTAATGAGCGATTAATATCGAGGTTAATGATCTCGGGCATCAAATTTTAAATCCTGATGAGATCATATCTATTTACGATTAATAAATAAAGAAATAATAATAATAACAATAATTATAAAAATAACAATAAGTAAAGCATTAAACTGCAATAAAGCATTTATTATGCTAAATAATTCTGTCCATCATGTTTGAAGTCTTTATATGTTAGAAAGAGTTATGAAATGGTTGGAACGGCAGGAACGTTGTAATTCAATTTTGTATTAATGCGCAAAAGAAATTCGTGATATGGCCACATATAAAAAAGAAGAAAGAAACACAAAAAATAACGTGAAGTATTTTAATTAATCATTGAAAAATATAACTACTTAAGCCTCTACTTTTGTAAAAATACTTACCATATATTTTTAAGAGATGGTAGGTGGCAAATATTGTTGTTACTGATCAGCGTGCCCTTTGAGACTGCGTTATACCGGAACGAAATAAATGTCGCACTGGCAGCAAAAATATGAGAAAAACTGCGTATCCGAAACTGAGACGGTCGTGAGCGTCTCAGAGTGCCGACATCCTATTGCATTATGGATTAATTCAGTTAAAATATTATAAAATATATCATCCACGCACACTTTTAATTCGTTAGTTTGCTAAATAATACATAGTTTTAATTTAAACGAAAATTAAAGAACTTACTGCACATCAAATGGCAGTACTGCTCAGAATTAAAAATTTGTCAAGCTGTGGGGATGACTAATAGAGATTTTAAGCCACAGAGAAGATAAATGTCCTGGAGTCGTAACATAATGGAACGTTAAAACAAAAAGTACAGGCGTTTCTGATCACTTTGTATGCCACATATTATCTAATCAATCTCTCAAACAGTTTACCTACTTTCTTCGTAAAATTGATGAACAAGAAATTAATAGTGAGAACGTGATAGAGAAATAGAACTGAATTTTCAAATTAGTTCCAAAATTGTATAACAGCATAATACAAAATCCATTTAACTACTTTTAAATTTTGCAGGCCATCATATGCGTATGGGCGTATCATATGATTAAAAAGTCAAGAGAATTTTTATCCTACCTCATTTTAACAGAAAACCAGGTTTTCCACAATTTTTTATCAGCTATAAATATTACCATAATTAATATTCATGCAGTGCCAATTGATTTCATATAAAACAGCTACGCAAAGAAATGTACCTAATATGGAATAAGCAAGTCAACAGAATGTTTTCAAGAATCTATTTAAAAGACATATTAGCCATTAGCTGTCTTTATAATTACTAAAAGTTTTCATGTTATTGATTCTCAGACACTTTATTTTCGCATCTTAATTTGGATTTCTGAATATAAATGAAATTCTACTAAATTGCTTAGTGAACAATTCTAATAAAAGGTTTTCCAAGCGAAAAAAATTTTTCATAAGTGAAACATCGGGAAGATTAGGTATTTATCGTCTAGTATTAACACAATTATGTTATTAAGCTGATCAACAAATTAAGGTAAAATTATTAATGTAATCACTGAGGCTAAGAACTGTGTATTTTGAATTAAATTCATCAAAACATAGCTAATAGTACTAATTAATTATTTGATTAAAGTAACTCAAATTAATACAACGCTAAACTTCTTTTCATAGTTCAGAAAATAGAACCTGAATCAAGACTCGTTTAGTACAAATATTAGTGTTTTGAAATATTTTGAAATGCAGAAAAGAGTTTTAGTAATTTAATGAAACAGTATAAATTAAATTTCAAAGTATGCTCGTCCTGTTTCTTTAAAACGAATGATGCATTTAATATAATTCTGTGAATTAGTGACTTATGAGCAGAAAGAAATTTGCCTTATCTACTCATCATTTTTTTTTTTCAGGTAAAATGTAATTATATATGTTCTACCTACCTGAAAGAGAGGGAAATCTTAATTTGTACACCCAGAATATGAAACAGCAACTTGAAAGCTATACATACTATTTTTATTGAACATATTTTCTTTATATGAATACGATTAAGAAACTAGAATTTGAAGATACGGGAAAGCAGATGCGACTGCGTTAAATTGAACATTCTTAATAGGAGAAGAGTGTAAATAATTCTATGATTGCTGTGCCATACTCTGGATAAGAAAATGTTTTATTTCCTTCCCTTTGAGATACATAGATTATATAAAAAACATTTGTCCATTTCAGTCAGATCCTATTTTGAAGATCGTTACGACACAGCTGTCACACAATTGCAACAGTTGAAATGTATTAATGATTTTTCTAGAAAAAAAAGTTCTATTTGGTGCTTTTCTACTTACATTATTTACAGTGAAAAACATGTATAAATACAACATCACATAGAAAAGATGCATCATCTTCAACATCATTTTGTACATTTTTGAAAAACATTTTAATTAATTTTATTTTTGCTAAGACCTGTAGCAGACCCGCAGTTATATTTTTGATTTCAGGAATGCATTATTCATTTTCAAACCTAAATTTTGAAAGGTAAAGAGACATAATTCTATAGGAATGGATAATTCTATTATCAAAAATTTCTAATTACTGTTTTAAAAAATGTAATATATGTATAATTAATTATATGTGCAAAATACATTATATTCAATTTTTATGCAAAATAATTGATATTTGATTTTTATAACTTAATGCAGAAAACACTAAATTAAAAAAAAATATTTCGATATATATTTTGCATCATGAAAATTTGACGTCTAATTTGCCTTGAAATCAGTTTTATTAATAAAACAGGATATTTTTTAAGGTAACCTTCCTCCTCAACTATCTCATCATTTGAATCTAGTTTCTAAGAAACTCTTATAATAATGCATTAAAGAACTAGTTCGTTGATTTAGGCTTTGTTCGTTGAGAAGTTATTTGCTCTAATATAAAGAAGTTAAAAAGAAGAAAAGTGGTAAAAGTGATAAAGTCAATACAAATCTACAGTATCTGATAAAAATACTGTGATGACCTAAATGACATTCTGTTATTCAAAACACAATTAAAAATTATCTGAATTTTCCCCCTAAACTATTAAGATTGCAAAATTATAACTACGGGTCTTTGCTTCACATTCGTTAGCACTGGTCTGGAGGTTTTGTTATACAGTGACCAATATTATCGTCTCCTGTCACAGGCATACCGCTACACCGTCTTGTTCCAATGATAAGAACAGCTTTTTGATCATTGGGATCAACAACAAGAACGTCTTCCATTTCTTCCTCTTCCTCTACCTCATCCAGTCCAAGCATTCTCAAGGAAGAGGACTGAGATACGGATATGCATTGACTGGAAGATGATGGCTGTTGGATATTTGTGGACTCAGGTTCTTGTCCTCCTCCGTCTTCCGGAGCGGCTTCTGCACCGGAAAGCGTTCCGGATATAGTAGTAGATGAAAAATCATCTGAAGCCGTCCAAGAAACAGTATCTAATCCCGGTTGGGATCGCAATTCAGGGTAATTCCTTAGCAGTCCATTTGTAGATGTAGCTGATTCTTCTTCCTCTACATACCATAAAAGGCCGTTATCTTCTTCAACACCTTCTTTCTCTTCATCCTCATCTGATAATAATACATCACAGATAGATAACTCATCCTCTAAAGGACTAGTTACTTCTTGTATGACAATACTAGCACACGCTTGATTTTCATCATCATCATCATCATCCACAGGAATAACAGTTGTAGATGGTGCACTTGCATCATCACTAGATTCGGCACTTATCATTCTGATGGGTGGACCAACATATTTAGATTTAACCACCTGCTGTCCTGTTGTTTTTTTGCCTTTCATAGGTGAGCGATATGAGCCTCCATCAGACAAACCAGAACTACATAAACTGATTACACTGCCAACAAGAGGTGTTGGGCTGAGCTGCGACACAGAAGGTTTGTCTTCCGAATCTCCAGCCTCTAGTGTGTGACGTCTGCCTCTGTTGTCACTTGTTGAAGCAACAGGCCAAGATAACGTGGGAGAAGTTCCGTTGTCCTCATGAATTGATATGGTTGCTAATGGACTATACTGAGCACTGGAAGTTCGATCTAGGAAACTAGTATCTGCAAAAACATAAAAAGCATTAATTTAATAATCAGTGATCAGTTTTTAAATTTTTAATAGCTTCAGATATTTATAATGATATTAAAATTGAATTGCTCAGTAAATGCTGAAAAACTGAAAAGCAATTAAACAATCGTTACTTAAACGGCTATGTAGTTTAATGTTTTTACAACAAACATATGCAATTAGACTTCTTTTTTAAGTTTACCCAGAAGGACTCTACTCAGAACCTAGGGAGGGGGAACGATGTTCATCTTCATGATGTAAAACATGCCTTGTAATTTTGATTGAAGTTGGTATTCTCGTACAAAGCTTCGCAAATTCAGTTCAGCACTTCTATTAGAAATTGGGGCTGAAAATTACGTAAGATATTCAAGTCTTATTGTGAAATCTACTACAGAAGAACTTTATTACTGTTCTTCTAGTGTATGACAGAGATTTACTGCCCAATAATAAAAGATAATAATAATAATAATAATAATACAGTAAGCCGCTCATTTACATAATACATGACTTACGTAAATTCTCAGTTATGTAAGCAAGTAAATGAATATTTTAGTGTCTTTTCAAAGTTCACTTAAGCAATTTGTTTTTGAACTCGATTTACTCAAAATATTTTTTTAAAATTTGCCTATTATTCGCAATTTTTTGAATTTTTAAAAATTTTTGATGCTATAATTTTGCATTTTTGGCGATGCTTGCTTCGGCTTTTAGAAGTTGGAATGATAAAGACACATATTACTTTGATTGATTTTCTCAGACTGTTTTTAAATTTTAAACTTTAATTTGCGTTCTTTGTCGATTAAGAAACAAACTGTTTTATTTATTAATTTCTTTTTTTCCTCAATCCTCTGCTGATGATGCAACGAAAGATATAAGCTTCATTTTCATTTTTGTCTTCTTCATACTCCCCTTCCCAGTTTTTGTGGTTGGCCACTGTGCCTCTCTGTTTTTTATTTTTGCATGTGGTTTATTCCAAATTGAGTATGGGGTGAATTTTAAACATATTTTTTCGTTTTTTCTTTTTCATTGTATGTATATATACACACATATATATGTGTGTGTGTAAAATAAAAAATAGATAAAAATAAAATATTTGCAATAGTCTTTTAACTCACCCTTTTAATCTGAATAGTTCCTTTCTGTCTTTAAAATAGCAGCAACTTAGAATCAATCGATCTAAATGATGTCATTTCAAACTTAATCTCTCTCAGATTATTCTTGCATAATTGTAAGGACGCATGCTCTTACTTTTCAGCTAATAAAAACCTTAACGTTTTCAATCTAAAGCTTCAACAGCCAATCTTAAGAAAGTGAAACTATAAAAAACCCTTATTTGGAAACTACGCATTTTCTTTCCTATCTCCTGATAGTATACTGTCCTCTACTGTTTAACATCATGTAGTAAATATATAAAAATATATTAAAGAATAAATTGGCCTTTAGAGCCAATTTATTTATGTCTGCATCAACAATATGATTTCAGCAATAAAAGAATTTCTTAACTGGCCTAGATTACAAGTATCTCTGTTTTCAACATCTAATATTACATGAGTCGCTAGATGTCGATGCATAAATATAATAGAAACTGTCAAAGGCCGGTTGAACATTTCTTTTATTGCTGACAAATGGAGCCACAGTTTAACTCGCTGTTCTTTAAAAGTTTTCACTTCGTTTCGACTAGTTGTTTGTTTCAGATCGCAAAATTTAAAATCATTATTAGTTATGCAAAAATTAACTGAGAAGGATTAATTTTAATTGACGCAGTATATATCGGTTTAGTATAAGCAGCTACTGATTTTAAGACAGAAAGGAGAAATAACCAAATTAGAAAGGACTGTTAAGGAACTATCTCAAATAGTTAGTATTTTAACTTATCTATTTTTTATAAATGCATATATACATTAAACGAAAGGAAAAAAGTCTTGCTGACGCTTTGCATGGGAAGCTTCATTATGTCGCTTAAAAAACACTACCATATTTATTTGAGCAAGTTTCTGAGTTTGATAATTGTAGCTTACAGAGACTGATGATAACCTTTTTCAGAAGTCGGCGCTAGTGTTAGATGAAATCAAGCCAAGTGTTGCAAATTTGAAACTGATGGATGCAGGAGAGTTGGACAGACTGACTGGAAAGATTGCACTGGCCTTGTCACACCTAACGCGAGGAAGGCATATTATGCGAATGGTGATGACAAATCACACAGCAACACCAATAATTCGAGCACAAGAATTAGGATCTGTTCCACAACAAGCTATGTCAGTCGATGTTCCTTAGACAACAGGGAAATCTTTGCAAGTCGTCCATTCGCTGCGATTACCATTGAATTTACACGGCTTGAGTATACAGCTGTATACGATTTTATCAAGATCGCATTAGATTTCTCAGTATTTAGTTGTCACTGCCGCCCAGCTGGGAGTGTGATTAGTGACTCCGTAACAAAAGGCCCGGGTTGGATTCCCGGAGAAGGCATGGATGTTTCTGTGCGGCATGGGGGCACTCTAAATATACGGCAAGTCGAAAGTCCTCTCCAGAGGTTGTGGTAGAGGAAGAGGGGTGAGAGACCTCTGAACTAGTCCGCCTGGCGTGCTCTCCATCAAAATTGGGGGCGGAACTGAGCAAAGTCGTACTGTCATCTGTATGGTGTTCAAGGCTCTTGCCAACGACAGGCGCAATCTTACATTCCTTGCCACGATGAATTTCACGGGCTTGTTCCGATGTTACTGTCAGACAAGTGAGATACGGCACAACAACAACAGTAGCTACTACCTCACCATCTGCACATACTCTGCTTTTAGTCTGCCAGACATCATGGATCACCGAAGCAGAAATATCCTCATAAGAATGATCCAAAACAACTCATTGGTATGTCTATCAGTCTTAGGCAGAAACTGCAGCGGGTTTCAACTCATACAGTAATCAATGGTAATATCAAGCTCAGAATGACAAATTTTAATATATATCAGGCATTGTAACTAACCAAAAGCACTTTTCTTTCAAAATTGCACTTATTTGTGCTTTGCGTGATGGCTGATTGATTGATATATTGAATACCTTACTATACAAGCTTGCATAATTTGTTAAGCTATTAAAAAAAGACATTAATGACAAAAATACATAGCGGAATACTGATAATTACAGATTTCGAATTTCAGTGTTTCACGTCTTTTCTCAATGTTACGAAATTTATTAAACATTTCATACATGTTGAAGATATGTAGCATACTGATGGCAATGGTAGGCATGTGTGAAGCTCAAAATACGAGTAGTAAAAGTCAGCAAACGAATAGAAGAGCAAACAATTATATTAGATCAACCAGAAAAAAAGGAGATGGAAACAACAACATGGTAATACTGTCAGAAAAAATTTCGATAATTAAAAAGAAAAAAATCAGAAAGTACCGGTTACCGAATGTTTTTCAAATATTTTGCGAGTGCTGGCAAGTTATCAGTTTTCATAAGAATAGAAAATTTAAAACTTTATTGCTTAGCCGAATTATTAGTCAAACAGTATATAAATAAATTGAATGTGTCAATACACAAGCTTCTTACGTATGATAGCGAATCACCGAATCATTACCAATGTATACAAAACAGAAATTCAAAGGTGTTTTAGAGATTAGCCATACGGAATATAAAAACATACGACTGTTTTAATACAGAAAATGAGCTCAAGTGATGCGGTAATTGCAGCTCAAAGAGAGTATTTAGGCAAAATCCCAATCCTTTTCACAAGAAGTTGCCAGGTTCGATATTTTATTATTTTTTAACCGATGGACCCCGTTGACGAGTCACATGATAATCTTTGTTGTGGCGATGAAGAATAACAGTTATTATCACATTAATATCACATCTTGACTTATCAAGGAGTGCCTATTTTTGTTTGATATACTTTTATTATACAATAGATGTTCAAGAAATAAGCATTTTTATTTAAAATATCTTGAAACACATACATGCAATTAAGGAAAATGTTTTTCCATATGCCTTAAAAAGATTTTACCACTGTATATAGCATTTTCGATTTTCACGTACATTGTACAGTAATAAGAGATACTAAAATTATTTAAGATAAAATATTTTTATCATTCTAAATCCTGCATTTTGCCCTGTGTGTTAGCCGTTCTTTCGATATATGGCCCATCAAAAGCACCCGTTTAATGATTGGCAAACAAGTGGTCATTTGCAAGTGGTCACGGCAACACGTGGGAAAAGTGTGGTCTGACACACTCCAAACCCAGATCAAGAACCTCTTTAAATTAATGCTGAAGTATTAACAATTCTTACCATGGCGGCCACAATAAATACTGATTTATATGTGTTCCGCAAGTCAAATGGGGCTGTAATTTTCCTCAAATGATCATCGTACTTTATATTATTTATCTCGTAAATATGGCTTAGATATTCTTGTTTCATTGTGGCGGCAGCGCACATCTCTGAAAAAGTGCAGGGATGCATTTCCGTAGAGTTATAATTACATAAGTTTTAAGAATAATTTTATTTTTATCCCTAACATCGCAGTTTTTTCCTCGGCTCAGTATCTTATGCTTTCTTTATAATTTTGACAAAATTGCAAAAGAAATTAAATTATTATTCAATTTTATATTCATATGCTAGAATATCAGTCAAAATTGGTAAAAATTAACAGTAGTTGCAATAACAGTTTTAAAAACATTTTCGTGCAATTCAATTATGAAAAATAATCAGTCAAAGTAAATATTACTTTTGGCATCTGATTCTTCTGAGAAACGGAAAATGAAGTTTGCAGGAAGTGAAGACATTTTGATTAATTTTCTATGTGCATTTTCTTTTAATTCTTCTTGTTTTCTGGCTTCTCTCCTCCGATCGCGGCCCTGTGGGAAAAGCGAAGGAGTGTTCAACAAAAATTGTATTTATGTCCGAAATTTCGTAGATGTTAAGACTGTAAAAATAAAACATAAGGTAAATAGTCAAGTAATGAAAAACTCTGCATTAAAATAGTTTATTTAAAACAGGAATCTATCCGATTTTATTAAAGTACTCAGTTTATTTTATTAGCCATGAATAAAACCAGTTTGATGAGACATAAAACTATTCATCAGAAAATAAAATTTTAATGATTTATGCTACTTTTTCAAAACTTTTATTAGTATATTTTTTACATTTCATCCATGGAAAGAACATCAAAATAGTGGAGTACAATAAGGAATAATTTATGCTGGTTTAGTAAAATTTGGATGCTATTAAAAAGAGAAAAAAATAATTTTAAATACTGAAGAAACAAGCAGCTAGAATTATAATACACAGTCTTCAGCTCAGCTTTCCATGTTCTAATGAATAAGGAACTTTTATCCATGCATTTGCATTATACATGCATTACATAGTTTTTAACGCATTTATAAAATCCTAGTAGGAAAACGAGTACAAAGAAAAGTTTAAAACAATGAAAAAAATAAATGCTATTAATTGCTTATTTTTGCAATTTCTCATGTTAACTCATAAAATCATGTTAACTCATGTTAATTCATATAACTCATAAAAATGTTTCGAAATTAAGTACGAATTGGTAAAGAATAAGTTATTCTTTTCTGGGTGAATTTTTCCATTACAGAACTCTGGATAAGTTTTTTCTACTTATTAACAAGAAATAAATTAAAAAATTAAAGCGAAAAGCTACTGAAAGCTACGAAAAGATACTGAACAAACGCTCAGTCAAAAAAAAAAAAAAAAAAAAAAAAAAAAAAAAAGCGCGATTACCTAAAAAATATTCTTGGTTAAGATTTATAGCAAAAATCATTAATTACATGTGATATTAATAAAGAATGCTACTGAAGATTATTTAATTTATTACAGAAGGAAATTATAAACTATTTATAATTATTGTTACCATTATTTTTAGCACCATTATATTTTAAATATTTCTTATGGCGCAAAAGCCATAAGAAGTAAAATGAGTTTCAAGATAATTAACGGTGGAACACAGAATATTGATTTTTGAGCTCACAAGTAAAGGTATTAATTGATACTGACAAATGTATAGAGTTCTACGAATAATGTTCAAGGTGCAGAAGCGAGCAATGGAGAAATTACTCGAAAATGAACTAGAAAATAATGCATAGCGTTCAAAATTCTTGTATCGTTCGGTTTAAATAGCAAAGAAAGTAATGCTGTCAAATATCACATTAGCAATCTTCAAGAAACTATAAGGTTTTTATTTAAATCATTATTATCAGTAAAATCATTTAATTTTCAGTACAAGTTCATTCATAAAAATGAATCTGTAAGATTCCAGTCTATTTAAAATACCAACACTTAAGAATCAGACAGCCTAACTACTTATCTCCCCATCTTCTGAAGATAGTTCTTCTGAAGATACAAACGCAGATAAAAATTTAAAATAAATCTTTTTACTAACCCATCAACTTGACGGTTAGACAAAACTTAGAAATACAACAGATCCTCCACAGCTTGCTGGAAGTTCAGAATAAATATTCAAGTCAAATTAAAGTATTGAATACAAAGAACATGCTTCTACTACGCTTTAACTTGAGCTTTAAGATTTCGCGAAGCAAATTGCGGTTAGCAGAGCTGAAACGCATAAAACATATCAGTATCACCAGAATCTCTTTCTTCTCGAAAAGAAACTCACTCTTCGCTGAAATATATTAACTGAGTTGTATCTTGGTTAGAGTTGACGAAAACAGAAGTGAAAGTATACGCAAAATAATAAGATAACTCTATTAATTAACATAAAAAAACTACAAATTATACTTTTGAATAAGGTGTCATAAATATATTAATAAACATTGCATTCTGGAAATTTTCTGAAGAATTAATTTAGTTTTCTAATAATATGTTTGAATGGAAGGCATGTAGATAATTATCTTAGCTAATTTAATGCTATCCATTTAATAAAGTTATTTTAATAAAAATAAATCATACAAACTGGTATGTGTTTTAAACTAAATTTTTGATAGCACACCTGAATTAAAGACTAGTGAAGCCCTACACTAAAATTTATTTAGGTTGTTTTCACGGCCGGATACGCATATAGATAATGCAAATAAATAAATAAAAAATTTTAAAAAATTCGAAGGGTTCGAAGTTTAATGGTCATGCAAAAGAGCTCTTTTAAAATTTCATATACTTAGTAAGTTATAGATTATCAATAGAAATGGCCCAGGTGGAACAGCGAAACATTTCATAGCATATTAGATGAATATACATTTAGATTTCCGTGGGAACGTTATGCACCTTGTGTATACTTGAAAAATGAAAAAACTATGTAACTTATTCTATAAAAATATTTACTGTTTTTAATTAGTTATATCAATGGATTAAATTCATTTTTATTCAAATGACTAAAATTATAAAGTATAAATTTTATCCTCAATACCCACACTTATTGATTTTAAATAGCTTAGTTTGTTACTCAGTAACAGATAAATAAATTTGAAAGCTAAATACTCTACATTTGGCAGAATGGCAAGAGACGAAGGAAAAGATGAAATCATGTTTCAAAACTAATAGTCCCTTTCGGCTAAAAATAATAATGGTAACGATAATTATAAAATTATTATTAATAATAATGTTAAATGTGCAAATGCATTTCTACCTTGTAACTACTGTAGGAAAATGAACTACGTTAATTCTTTTCAAGTATTTCTCCAAATTTGTTGCAAAATTTTCATTTTTAGAGTAGTCATATTTAGAAAAACATATTTTGCTGTAAATACTATAATAATAACAATAATATAGCTAAATGTATCATCAGGGTAGTGATATAAAATAAAAGTCGATTACACAATGTTTTGATATAAAATTTAAATTTAGTGCTTCGATAATTTATAAAAGGTGTTATAATATATTTGGGCAGAATTCAGGCTTACTGCTTGTTAAAAAATTTGCGAATGAACTATTTTTACTTTTGCTTTTACAGATAAAATCATATGCGAACTTCCCAGTAAAAATATAAGTAGGAAACTTCTAAACTTATAATTAGCAAAGCATGTAAATATAACAATATTAAAAAAATAACTTTGAACTTGACATTATTTTAAATCAGTGGTTTAATACTTCGAACGCCCTCTTTGTGTTCGTTTCTTTTCAAACCATTAGAAATACTAAAGAATTGTTACTTTGTGACCTTTTCAATCGAAGATAACGTAGAGTTAATGCTATTGAAATATTACTTAAATCGTTTAAAATTTAGGAGTAATATCTTTTAGCGCACATTTGACTCAAAATTCAATCTATAAATATTACTAGCATTTTTCAAGCTATTTTTAGTAGCTTAAACCAGATAATTCCTTTATTTTTTCTAACTGAAAATGTGTGTTAATTATCATTTTAAAATGATATTTTGAATCTCTGAAAATATCACTGTTAATTTTAGCTATTCTATTGTCTGTCATTTCCATGACAGAGGCATAAACGATTTGTAAATATAGTTCAATCAATTAACAGAATCCCTACTTGAAAGAAACTAAGAGAGATCAGGGATTTTTGAATTCTTGGTTCTTAACCATCCCTGAAGGGGAATATTACAGGAAACGAGGATACTTAAAAGAGAATTGATTTTTGGTTATTAGCACGAAAAATCATCGTACAAATGATTTTCGGAATAAATTATTACTGTGGCTAAAGCATTTCGAACATTAGAATGGGTTAAATTGAGGTGTGATGGATAACGGTAGAATTTTAATTAAAAACAGAAGAAGATCACTCTGACATAAATAATTAGAAAAATATCCGTAGTAATATAATATATGAAATACTTAATGGGTGCTGTGTTTATGTATATTTGTGTGGAGCTGTGTAACAGGTGGTAGGAGTTTAACCGTAAAACCGTATATCTTTCAAGGTATATATTTTTGCAAAAATAAGAATATATAGTAATATTTTGTAATAAATGCACATCATGATTTGAGAGGTATTAGCTAAATGCCTGAATGCGGCTACACTGTTCAGATGACAATACTGATTTTAAGCTACCGAAGTGCCCGAGGCTGCCGTAAATGAACTCTCTGTATATCTAATGGCATCAATGGCAATGAATGAGTTAATCGCTTATTCACTTAATTCCATTAAATTTAAAGTGTCTCCTTTCCAGTTTTTTATTGTTAACCAGAATGATGAAAAATACAGTTGTAATGAAGAGGAAAATGTGGCGCAGTTTCTTGACATATTAAGCACTCTCATATATAGTTCACAAATGTACTAGTTCCTTCATTAGTTGGTTAACTAAATTTTAATTCATGTTGAGTATTCGTAATTCTAATCTCAGGACGTAACTGAGTAATTACCGAACAACATGATATTTAGTTTGTCTGAGCATTCTACATGGTTTTCAGGTCACGAAATTTAAAAGAATGAGATGTGCATTATGTAAAGCATGAATAATTAACAAATATTGTTGCGGGCGCACGGATTAGTAATACATTGAATGCACACAGAACCAACCGATTGTAACTTGATAAAATTTATTTTACAAAAAGGAACATTTTACAATTCTGGAACTTTTCTCAAAAATACTATTATAGCTCTTATCGGTATCTCAGAGCACAATCAGTAGTTATACTTTAAACTACTAAGCAAGTTAATTACAATGCAATGCAAAGCCTATCTAAAAAGAAGAGGCTTCTATGGAGATCTCTCAATACTCCGAACAAACGCTGAATTAAACAACTGAGAAACTGATGCTCTTTCCAGTCTTATATAGTTTTTCCCCAGAAATAGAGAAATCTCTTGTACCTTCGACTTCTCGAAGTTACTTGAAGGCACATAATGGCTGGTTACGGTTACAGTTACATATAGGGATTAATTACATTTATTCAAGCACAGTACCAATTATACATTGACCGGACTGAAATGC